AGCGGGCCCAACCGAATTCGCAACTATTCGAAAAAACTGTTGGTATTAAATTTTTTTTAAGTTTATTATACAATACTATAGCAATTAATCGTATTGGCGGAAAATTATTTTCTATCGTTGCCTTACCAATGATGACAGTAGTGTCTTGTAATTTTATACACCGCTAATTGTTTCGTTAAGAAAAAATAAGTAAATACTAAAAGGCGTTGATCAAATACACGTTACAAATGCAATCTACTTGCATCGTCCGTGAAATTGTGTATAAATTAAAAAATTATGACATCGGCAGACACTGTTTATGGACTACTTTTAAATAAATTGTAATAAGCAACGCAACGACGTGTATAGGAAATACGCTAATGAACGACAAAACCGCTTCGGTGCGGTACATAATAAAAGGTAAAAATGTTTCGTTTAGAAAACCGATACGAACGTTTCAAAGACAACTGTGTAAACTTGCCGTCATTTTGCGTTTTTTAATTAATACATTTGATTTGCATTTATAACAGTCATTATTCTACACGAGGCACTACGAGCGGCGGCGGCGGCGTAGAAAATGTACTAATCAATTGCATTCGGCCGAGTACATCAATGACGGTCCGTAAAGTGGTTAATTCGACTTAAAGTTTGTTTGTACAAATGCCGACAAAGGTTTAACGCTAAACGGATCACTTTCGAGGGAATTACATACACTTTAGACGGGCGATTGCAGTCGGAAGTTTAGTCGTGTCGTCTTCACCCCGACCCTCCCCTTTCCACCCGGCCGACCCTCGAGGTGTTCACGGTCCAGTTTGTCGAATCCATAAGCATGTAAAGCGCTCGCGTGCCGCCTTTGGCGTGTAATCGACGCGGTAGATTCGCGGTCCACCGTTTTAATTAACAGCTCACAAAAGCAACAAGTGTTCTCGGCTCTGTGCAATGCCTGTCGATGGGATCTTACCGCATTGTATACACACCTTAAGCGTGCAATCGTGTATTAATTGGAATGTTGTCCAACGAAACGGCGTTGCGGTTAATTTCCGCGCGACGAGTACGCCACTTGTTCGTCGTCGTTGCCATTTGCCAAACGACTGTCGTTCCAATTAGCCAACAACGTCTATTGTCTACGCGCCATTAACACATTGAACCGTATGCGAAATCGGACGAAATCATAACACCGACAGTCGTAGTTTAAACATTTAAACGGTTTTCGCTGTATTTGCATAGACGCTGCTGTTTTATCGTTGAAAAGTTTCGGAGGCTGGGCAAAAGCCAACACTTTTGCGGTTAACCGCCGACGAATCGCGTTCCATTCATACTACTCAACAATGCACAATGTACTCTCTGTGCCCGTTGAAAGATTGAACCCCAAAACGGCAAGAAAGGATTTATGGAATGCAACATCACATGTTATTTGTAATAATACGTTAACCGCGACAGGGACTCGTATGGCTTTGAACATACCCCAAAAGTGTTGTCGTCGAATATAAATAGTTTGTTACGATAACAAGCAAATTCACGAGTACTTCTAGTTCGAGCGACTAACAATATTTGTTGAACTCTGTTAGTTTTTAATATTATATTGCGTTTAATAAATGAGTACCAATTGAGAATATATATACTACACGCGATTTATTTTAGATTAACATACAACAATATTTCGTTTGAGATTTTATTATCAGTCTGATAAGTAGAGATTATCTAGAAGCTTATTTATAAAAATCGAGTTTCCGATTTGATTATTTAACACTTATTGATGATATTTAAAGAAAAACAATTAAAATTTTCTATTTGTTTTCACTAGCGGTTTCGTAGTTTATTGTATTAAAAAGTCGAGCAGTTTAAAATTAATATGAGGATCGAGCATTGTGTTTGGCACAATAATTGTAGTTTTAGTCAAGTGTTTTTCCAAAAAGTACTTCCGATTTGTTATTAAAGAAATAAAACGAGAAAAACGGTACTCTAATAATTTGTAACTATAATTGCCATTTAAATTAGCCATTAAGAGTGATATATTTTTAAGGAAGTTATCGAAATAATCGTTTATTTTGGGACGGCTTACCTTGATGACGCATGTGATTATCAAACAATGTAATGTGTATTGTAATAACAATTATTTTTTCTTTATTAGCATTGCAGACTTAACGTAGTTTGCGACGAACAAAAAATAATTGCTAAATACTTTAGTAAAGTGAAATGTAAACGCACAACGAGTAAAAAAAAAAAAAAATATATATATATAATAATAAACAAGTGACTTACGTTTAACTATTGTGATGCACAACCAAAACCGTTAATTATTTTATCGTAGAACTGCAAATGTACAATTCTACAATTACCTGCCTATAAGGTATCGTTTTAAATTTTTTTTTCTTTTTTTTTATAGTGTGTTCTTGAACAATTATTGTTGTATTATATGAAATTTTAACGATTTCATCAATTTGCCGTTTCGTCCCGAGTGCAGATAACAGTTTCTCGGTAAAAAGATAAAATTGCGGTAAGTATGTAAATTTTTTTGTACGCATAAATAATTGTCAAATCGTATAAAAAAAGTAAAATTACAGTTAACAAAAAATAAATCCGTTTTTATGGGGTTGGCTTAGTACGCCGATGGAAAATTGTTATATCACGTGTTACACTTGCAAATGGGGTGCGCTGTCGACTTACCGTAGTGGTGTGGTGGTGGTGGCCTGGCGGGTTGCCGACAGGTCATAATGAAGACAGTGTTGCCCAAGTGTCGGTGTCTTGCGTAAACGTTCGACAAAGGTGACAACAACAATTACGTTCGAGATAAATAATAACTTAAAGGCGTGCGGCCGCCGCCGGACGGATGGGATGCGTTGTCCGGCCAAAATTCGTATGGGTATTACACGCGAGGCAAAGCCAACGGCGGCGGTTAACGACGAATATCGCGAACTGGTTGTACTTGCGTTGCATCAAAACGCTAACTGTCACGTTCAGCCGGTGGATTTTTTTTCGTACGTCGCCGCCGCCGCCACCGCCGCCGCCGCCGTGTCCGCCGGTGCAACGAAATCTTGAACCAGTTCCTCTCGTATAGCAGATTGCGCATATACACACACCCCGCCACTGGCCGATAGTCCCACCTCACTTCACACATGCTCACCACTCAGTCTCTGTGCCTGCCGCCGTCATCTCGGCAAATTTTATTTTATTTTTTATTAATGTTTTCGTTCATTTCCATTTGTTCGCATGTGTCTCTCCTTGTCGCTCTTTTGTCTTTCTCCATACATTTTTACTTTTTTTACTTACCCTGTCACGAAATTCGTTTATTTTATTACAATGCAAAATTTTTGGTCACAATCTAATAACGTTACCGTGGACATGTACTCATCAAGTGACCAGAAAAAAATACACTAATACAATTTAGAAACACTAGTAGTATATTATTAGCATACTCTTAAAAAAAAAAATTGCATGTTACTGTTAAGTTTTCCTCGAGCACATATCTCTATTGAGTAGCACTTATTGACCAGATGCAGTTTTGTTTTATTTCCATTATTTCGAAAAACACTGAGTGGCTGAAAACCGGGGGGAAACATGGGTTTACCGCTACAGGGCGGCGACAGTGGCCCCGCGGGGTGTTAACGCCCTTTGGCTGTCACAATAAAAGAGTATTACGGACTTATTTATGTACTATAAGTTTGTAAATGATTGTCTAAAAATAACTTAAGGCTCTGGTGTTCTCTAAACATTTCCAGTTTTCAAAAAGTCAATGGCCCTGTTATAATTATTATTGTTATCGATAAAGTCGAGAGTAATAATTGATTTTTACCAATTTTTTATTTCAGCATTGTATAACGTGGACGGATTGAAAAAAAAATCGCTCGTAATGTTATTCTGGCCGTCATATTCATACATTATTGAAACGCTTGCCTACCTCAAACAACTTAACGTTGTTTCTATCGTAGCCTTATTTATATTCAACATTAAAATGCCCTTTTTTTTACCAGTGTTTTGATTTGGTTGAATTTTACTTATCATCTGCTAATCTCATGACTCGTACGAATTTGATTTTTAATAGTTAATTTACCGTTATAATTTTCAAAAAACATTTTTCGATACTAATACTCAATAGGAGATAAAACTTGTGAAACTTAAATCTTATAAGTTCTTGATTATAATTATTTTCTTATAATAACGTCAATTATTATAAAATGTATTTTTAATATTCTGATAAATATTTAAATAATTTTAACTTGTTTTTCATAGATAATAATATTATCTGTCAAATTATGGTAGATAATAAGTTTATATTGCCATTTTTTTATACATTTATTTTCATTTGCTATGTTTATTTAAAATTTACCAAATTCTCCGTTCAATACTACAAAATAAATTTCTTGATTTGATAAGATCATCATAGTTAAAAGAAACTCGAGAATAGCTATTAGTTGAAATTTTTATCACCAAACCGCTAAATTGTAAATGCAATTTATACATAAAGTTTTTATTTAAGTAATATGAAAATGTTTGCAAAAATTTATCATTACAATTAATGACAATATGCAGCAACTAACAGGATTCTTGGAAAACGCATTATTACAGTTATTAATTGATTAAACATAGTACACGGTTATTAGTACATTGAAATAAAATTAGCTTAACTTGTGTTTTTGTTGTTAAAATTGTTATGCAAAATTACTATTCATATGATAAATGAATTCGTATTAACGAAGAAATTGAAAAAAAAACTCTTGTGCGAGACTCGAACCGATAACCTTTGAGTATTGTCAGACACTTTGTTTACACTATCTTTTGTCTACTACTATCTACTATAAATACTACTATAAAAATACCGATGAAATGTTTAGGATTTAAGTTTCAACCGCTCGACAAACCACCACCGATCATAATAACCCTCTCCATCGCGTTTAATTTTACGGTTCACCCTTAGCGCTTTAACCGCGTAGGAAACGTCTTTGCATAGCTTTGTACGTACAACGTTCTTCAGTTGTAATACTAATGTGTATGTATCAAGAAGTTGGCAAGTAGTCGGGGGAGATGGTTATTTATTTATTTAACTTGCGCGCGCGGTGGTACACAAGACACGGCGGCGGAATCAAAAGAGACTTCCGCGAAACGTTCGATTCGAAATTATAGGTATATATTTTTGAGGAATTCAAAAGTGTGGGGTGGAAAATCAAACCTAAGCAGCGCGGCCCCGCACCGCCGCCCCCACCACCGTCGCCACCCTATTACGCAGCATTAAAAGTTTCATGCAGAGCGAATATCGTCGGCTGTGTTGCCATAGGGATAATCGCATTAAAATCTAAAATGGTCTCCCGTTACACCTTGTTCGTTATTAAAATCCTCGGTATATACACATTCAAAAATTATTCCGCGGTTTGCAAACGGTCGCCCCCGCCGCTCCTCAGCCCCGTCGCGTAAATGAATATGCGGCCATTTTTACCTCCGTATTCGTGCGCGAGTATTGAGAAAGGCTATTCGTGCGGCGGTTTTACTGAAAATTTGCCAATAACGATTCGTACAATTACATATTGTAATTTTGATTGCGATACGGCGCACACGCAAAAGTGGGCTAATCAGGAAAAAAACGACGACGACGACGCGACGATGTCGTCGTTCTTAACGTAAAAAATGTTGTAACGCCCATCGACCAGGAAATCGAAGTGAACTAGTAAACGAAAGCGTCTAGTATTGGGTTAGAATTGTGTCTATGCGCTACCTACACGTGTACTTATTGCAAATAATGGCCGACTCGATGCACTGGGGCGTAACTAGCGCGACTAGATAATAGCTCGTCGAGACATCGAGTCTGTTTCAGGTATTCTGTAAAATGATTGCTCGCCGGCAACATAATTACTTACTGGGTTCATGGTGGCCTGTTATCAACCGTATCGTGACCATTAAAAAAAAAACAGAATTATCAACAACTGGTAACAATTAAAAGTAAAATCTTATCTAGTTATATGGGTTCTGTAAAAATTGATTGGAAAATAAAACCAATGTACGTTATCTTTATCTAGCTTTAATGACTCAAAGTTCACCTAATCAACATTCATTGATGTATAATTTGGATCAATGACGTGAATGCACTAATCTGTTGCAATATTGCTACTATTACATACAAAATATGGTGTTAATTTTTAAAAATACACTTCTTCCAGAAATCTTCATTATTCTACCTATACACCATGACACTGCACTATTGTTACATTATCAGATTACCGACGGATAACAGGGTTCGTGGTTACCACACTCGATAACACTACAAAGCCGATAGATTTTGAAATTAAAACTAATAAACAATTGTGTAATCGATTATTTCCCCTTTTAAAATTGATACGTCAATTAGTCAATAAACCAAGACACAATATTTCGTGTTTGAACATTTTCCAAAATCGCTCATTTTTCTATTTAATTATATTATTTATTCAAAATTACTGTTTACACTTGGTTAATTTTCATAGTTAATAACAATTATAATTAAAACTATCTAATTTAAATAAGTCTAAAAAATGGCTTTCATTACTTTTACTCACTTCTGACGTTTTATGCAAAAATATATTAAATTCCTGTTTTTCATAAACTCTAACAATAAATATCTCAGATCATTATGTTTTAATTTTTTCTTTCTGTTAAAATGAATAATTAATAACCAGTTTACAATTGTACCGGGAAAATTGTCTACGTTTTTGAGACTAGAACTAAGATATACACAATCCTTTTTACAATTTAAAAAATATTTTTAGTGCTAAGTAAATCTTTAAATGTGTCCATTATGTTTTGAACGCATGCATATTTTATCCTCGAGACAACAGTTTTCACCAACTGAAAAATGTATTTAATAATTGTTTTTTTTGAGTTTCTATTTTTAACACGGATATTAATTTAAATATTTTAGCTATAAATTTCAAGTATTAATATTATTGCATATAATTCAAATATCAGTCTAATTGTTTGAGTGCTATGGTTACTTGAACATTGATTTACAATTTAAACATTGAATAATAGTTTTCTTTTGACATGATAAGATTAGAAATAATGTTAAAATTCTGTGTAATGGGAAGATGTTGAAATTGTAAATGTTTATACTTCAATAATTTTACAGAAAAATGTTCAATTAAGATAAGGAAAAATATTAAATTGTAATAGTGCACCTTAAAAAACTCATTTGTTTCTAAATATCTAAATCGATCGTATAATACACAATAAAAAACAAAATCATGTGAATATATCGTACTTGTTTGACATTTCAAAAAAGGTCACATCTCTAACTCAGTCAAAAAGTATTGGGTTAGTAGCCCCAATGGTTAGTAGTATATATTTTATGTAAAATTATTAGAATAACATAAAAACGATTGAATTTTCATTTTACTTTACAGACAATTGAAATTCAACTTATGTGCGCTGTATTCTCAGAATTTATAATGTCTACTTCCGGTAAACTAAAATGTACACATAAATACGGAAGAGAAAAGTTTTATTTACAAAACATGGCCTTTAGAGCGGTTGTTCGTCAGGACACGATGCCTAATAGTGTACGCCAGAAATGGACGGCGATTAAAAAGGGTGAATAATGAAAAAAGCTCTCGGGAAGAAAATATGGCGGAAGCTACGTTCTGCGACAGCGGTGTAGGTATTATACATTTTTATAAAACTAAATCGGGGTTGGTACGAGTGAGCCTGTTGTGGAGGGATGTGTGCCGGATCGAAACTTTAAATTCGCAGTTTAACTCAAGGGATTTGTAACATTGCATTGAGGGAGGGTTCAATTTATCCTTCTAATTCTGATTAGTCATGCGGGAAATAAAATCAATACTGGCAATAAAAAACCGCCCGAGAGGATGTAAATGAATGCCGCATGCCCGCGATGTTTGCTCAAATATTACCACCGCCTTCTCCTCCGCCGACGACATCCTTTATACTCCAAGCACAAGCACATGCATACATTTTCACATGTTTTATTTATACTCTCCGTCCCTCTGCGCTCGTGTATGTGTTTTATACGGTATAAAATATTTACCATTAAAAATGTCGGTTTCTAACGAGTACCCTGCGTGCATCAATACAATCACGTCTCTCATACGCCTCCTGGCAACGGCAATAATAAGTAATTCGATGAACGGACACGACTTCCCGAACCAAATGGCCAAAATAAGTTACCATAGTCTTCGTGTCGAAGAAATATTTCGATTTGTGATTCTTCCAGTAGTTCGGTTCATTTTTAAAGTGCTTAAAAAACATGTCACCGTATAATAGCCGCCACAAATCAAATATTTGTCTGTTAAAAACAATTTTGTCGAATTACTCGCAATCAACACTGTGTCCTTTGAATTTTCAATAATTCCACGGTGGCTGGGTGAATTGATAAGTCATACGACTCACGAAATAAATAAAACAAATGTCTGTTTACGAGCAAACGAAGCATTTATAAATGATCTCGTCTCACGGGCATGCAACATTAAAGAGATCACTATATATTTAACGGTAGTTTACTTTTTCGGCGGAAAAAAAGCACTTTCGCCCTTAACGGCGTTTCCGCGGTGAGATCCTCCCCCCTTTACATCCACAACGTCTTCTCCTAACGGAATAAATTCATTTTCTCGGGCGCCGGCAGTACACATGTACATAATGCAAATTAGCGAGGTCGTTTATAAATTTTCACAGAAGGGATCGCAGATTTTTCCGTTAATTCCATGAATATTCACACACAAACAACGTAACCCGTATCGTTTGTTCGGTGTTGATGTAGTCCAAAACGATTATGCACTGCCAAACACACACCGTACGCATTTCCGGCAATAATCTGAACGCGACAAAGGAGTGGGCGTGAGGTGTGCGGACACTGTAGAACGCGGTGACGCTTTATCGACTTACCTTGACGACATCATTATGCGTATTTCCGAACCGATAACTTAGACGGGGCACAAGTGCATTATTGTTATTGCAAGTCGATCAATCATACGACAATAAAATGCATTTACGCCTTGCAAGAAATACACACACAAACGACGACCATCAGAGACGCAATACGAAATGTATTGACCCGCGTACCGATCATCTCCATAACCTAACCCAACCTGGATGCCGTTGATTAATACACACGTTTCTAGTTTGTACGTGTCCGGTGTCGTTTTTTACTAGAATCGTTCATACACTCAATATCGGTTTGACGAACGTCCAGTGCTTTCGGCAAAGTCAAGTGCACCCGTCCCCTCGTTGACCGTTTGACGGACAGCTGTAAAAAATATTGATGGCAAAGTAGTAGTAGCCCTTGCTGAGCGGCTGATGTACTTTCGATAAGACAATGTACGTGGTACATAGTTGTGGTTGCCGCGAATCGAAATGATTATTGTAATTGTGTATGAAGAACACCAGAGTTATGACTGATGGTGTACCATATTATCTAAGAGAACTCTTGACCTCCGACAGATTTTATTATCATGTAATATTAATCATTTGCAAACATCCTAGCGAACTAATAAATAAAAAAAACACCATCGTTACACGTGCGCTTTTATGCGAACACAGAGAATATAAAAAATATTGAGCACGAATATTTAAAAGTATACACGATTATTTTTGATCTACGACAACTAACTTCGGTTTGATACTCAAGTCGGGTAAACTGACTATTATATGCGAAATTTAAGTGCGCGTGGTTAAATAGCATTTCAGAAATAAAAAATTAATTTTTAAAATGGAAATCATACGAACTTCAGGGTGTTGATCATTATTCTGCTAGATTAGTAACATTTTAACATTATACAAATTTTATTATATAAAAATAAATAGTTAGTAAAACCTCGATGAAAGTAATTGCTATCTATAATTGAAGAGTTAAGTGCAACAACCAGATAAGTTCAACTTTTCAGTATTTTTCTTTTTTAATTTTGATTAACAATGATTTTGTTGAGTAATTTCGTACAAAACGAGTTCTTTTTTTCCTATTATTTATGATGATATTTAATTTAGAAAAACCATTTTACCATTGCTATTGATGAAAATTTTTTAATAAAATTGCTTCTTCTGAAAAATTAAAAAAGAATTGGACTTATCTGGTTGTTGCACCCAGCACTTCAATTTGTATAATATAAAATTAATATTAACAGTGAATATTTTGTTGTTGAACAGCCAAAAATGTTAAACAAAGAATATAGTAATAAACTAAACCGTGGAAGAATACGGTAATGTATTTGTACATTCTAACAGGTCGCTGGAACAAGATGGCAGAAAGGACAGTGGAAATACAGAAGAGCAAAAGCATCATTTTGCCCCTCACTAATGAATTAAACAAAAAAATTATTGTTAAATATTTGTGTTATGTGTCTTCAATATTTTAATTTAAAAAAATCGTTTAATATCCATTTCAAATTTTGTAATTAAATTATTCTTGTAATTTGTGCGATAGTATTTTGTTTATTGTTATTCTATTTTCAATTGTGACATTTTATTAACCATAAAAAAATATGTTGTCAAATTCTTTTTTTATTTAATACTTCATTTATACAGTTCTAAATTTTAATGTAGTAAAAGTTATTTTGCTTAAAATGTTTGATTTTGAATGTCTTACAAATTTAACAAGCTAGTTTCCAAAGTTAATTATTACAATACAACATTTTGCTATTTTATCAATAATTACTAATAATATAATAAAATAAATACGTATTATCAAGGGTAAAGTTTATAAACTACCTGATTTCACTATATAATACATATATATATATATAGATATATACTATATATACTTAACTAAAATTCGCCAAAAAAAGGTTTAACTGCAATTTTAGGTTTGTAACAATCAAGAGGACCTATTTTTAATCATTTAATTTTTACTTCTGCATATAAATAAAATAGTTCTGTCACTCCTGTATGTTAAATTATTTAACCATTTTTTAAAAATTTTTAATAATTACCAAACTAAAGAATAAATAATTATTAATTGAATTTTTTTCAATCCCAATGGATGAAATAGTTTACTAGCTAAGTTACTAATGAACAGCGAATAGTAAACTCGCAACTAATTGATTGATTTAATTTTAATTTAAGTGATACAACATTTTATTTTTTGCGAATTCAACGAAAAATAACTTAAAAACTTTATAACTATTATAAGTGACAAACAAATTAATGAATCCGTGTCACCAAAATACTTTTATGTGCGCTGCAAATGGTTGGTTTTCACAAACATAAAAAATGACCTTACAAGACGAATGTGTATTTGTTATTGCACTTACCAATTAGGAGCCGTGGACCGTTGGCGATTGGCATTCGCATCCGCCACCTCCGTTGCCCAAAGTTGGGAGTAGGGCGGCAAACTCGGAGCTGCAGAAAAGGTCGTCGCCGCGCGAGACGCACCGCCACGTCGGTACAACAACAAATGAGTATTAATCTCTAGTTATGAAATTGATTAAAACGTCTGAAAAATAAATCAAACAATTATCAAAAAAACTGCGTAGAGATAATAATAGTAACGTTAACGGAACGTCTGATTCGCGGCAGTGGTTCGCTGTGGACACGAATTTCCTCAACTCTTTTAGCAAATGCACATACACGAGACCGCGTCAGTTGGCCTAGCGCGTGTAAGAGCCAATATACAGTGTGTGTGTGTGTGTGTGTGGAAACGTGTGCACTCTGTTTGAGCCACAGACGTCTAGCCGGCATAGTCGCGGCCCGAGAAACTAGTTTTGGTTTTTTTTTTACTTAAATTTTATTTATTATTATTATTATTTGTTATTGCGCTATTCGTACACCACCCCGCTACGGTCACCACTTCGGACGGCCGTCTGGGGACTCTTAAAAAACATAGACGTCTGGCGTTCTAGCAAAATTATGCGCGCGCGACCGCGTTACAATGTATTTAGTGCACTTGACGTTGGTGTCGGTTCTGCAGGTGGTGGAGGTATGAGAAGTTACTAAAAATTGTGCGTGCAAAATGCACACGTTTGTAAATTGTATTATTTTTATTTGTTCAATAAAATACATTACTCGTGTTTTTTTACACTATCTTTAAGCGTGTAAGAATTATTTCCTAATCAGAAGCAACACGGTGATTTTTTCCTTGTTCGTACCGAGTTCCTAATTATCGGCTGTAAATTATTTTTCAACTTGGCAATCAGTTGTTCTGATGCGCACTTTTTGTTTTGTAAACAATGAAATAACTCGTTTGGTTGTGTTGAATCTTACGAGAACATTTGCTTTTTTATTGATTCTATGAAATAAATGTTTTTGTACACTATAGGGCTAGAATTATAATTCTAGTTATAAAAAATAATTAACGTGAGTGTACACATTTCACGTTTTTAAGAAATTTAACATTTTTAATGCTAAAACTTTGTTTAACATTTTAAACCTAATGTTATTGTGTTGTCAGTTTCACGTCTACATAAAATCGATTAGAAAGAGTATTTAGAAATTGTACGAAGAATTTTATAAAATATTTTAGAATAAATATTAATTTCCTCTTGAATTCGAGTGTTGTTTATTTCGATTAAAATAAATGACATTTTGAAAGTAGTTTTTTAAGACATTAAAAAAAACTTTAATCACATTTTAAAATTCAACGATCAATGACAACTAGTATTATTTGTAGGCTGTTGTATAATTTTCATTTTATTTTCGATCAAGTAATATTATTCGTTAGTTCAACAAAAGTGATATGTTTATACAGGTTACAACTGTCACAATAATTTTGTTTCGTTGGTTTTTTTATATTATTTGTTAAAACTTTCTAAATTACACATGTTACAAGCTTTATTTTTAACTATCGTATTTCATACTTGAATAAATAAACCCTATTTTTATAAACAAAATAAAACTTTTTCAAACAAATATGTTTTAAGAAAACAGTTTTTTCAGCAAGGCTGTTCCCTCTCTATCGATAGTGTTTAAATTAAAATTTTTATGTGTACGGATCTATAAAGTGTCAACTAATATGTTGACGCTTATAAGAATAATATTTCTTGAATACCTTAAAATTTAAAAATATGAAGTAATGAGCAAAGAATAAAGAAATCTTAATTGAGCTAATTTTATGTGCTAAAATTAAAAAGTCAGTTTTAGTACTATCAAAATAATCGCCCCCCATCGCCAAAAAAATCCTAATTACACCTTTAAGTTATTGATTTTTAGTATGTTGAATAAAAGTTATAAATATAAAAAGATAAATTACTATTTTACTGTGAAATATAAAAATATTCATAATCAAACTTTTTATCGAAGAAACATTTATAAGTGTCAATAAAAATTTATTTAAATTTACATATATTAATTTTTTTTTAGTATACTTAATACAATATATTAATGTTTACATGATATTATTAATATGTTATTCAAACTTTTTTATTTCCTAATGAATTTAAAATACATTAAACGAAAAAAAAAACATTAAAACACTTAAGATTGTAAAGTTTAACTAGTATTGTAAAAATTAGTAATTTAAAATTAGGTATGTCATTAATATTTTTGTACTGTATTCAAAAATTCATGATATGTGTGTCAATAAAAGATAATTAATATTTATAAAGAGAAATTCAATACTTACTACTAGTTTAAGATGTACATAAAAAAATAGTTAAAACTTCATCAAGTAATAGTATAACACACAAAATTTATGAGAAATTAAATGCGATTTAGTATGAGATATTTTTTTTTATCAAAATTATATAGAAAATTTTAATCAATTTATTAAAAGTTCATATTATATTAATTTACTATTGCCAAGTTGCATTTCTATTTTTCTATTTATGAAAAAAAATATTTGCTCCATACATAATCACGCAAAATGTTTAAAACGTTGTTGTTTCATTTTATCGATGACTACTACAAAAATTATTATTTGGTGTATCAAATAACTAATTAATTTTTTTGTAAATTTTTATTTTTTGAAATTTCGGTTAAATCTGTTATAAACATACATCTTTTAAAAGAATACTTTAATTTGATCATAATTTTTCGTCTCGCTAAATTGTAAAATAATATGATGAATTTAATCATATTTTACGAGAACTGTATAATATGAGTTATTCATTTATTGATAATAAATTATCTGAAGTAGATAGATCGATGAATAATTGTTGCCAAACAGAACGGCTGAAAAATAAAATCCAAATATAGGGAACAGGATTGAATCTTTGTTATTTTATTTTTAGAAATGTTACTGTGAGCCAAAATATTGATTTATTTTTTACATATGGAGGATCTATCTATAAGATGTCATCGGGGTATTTTCTGAAATATTTTTCCTTGGCCCCTGACAGTAACTTGAATACTTTTTCACATTTATACATAACTAGAGCAAGATTGTTATTTGCCATCAGAAATATTTTATTAATAATGAAAGAATTTTGATAAAAATGTACAATATCCAATATTTTTTCAGTCGAAGGGTATTTTATGATAAAACAAATTAGAACTAAAACGAACGTGATCTAAATTATAAAACGTGGTTTTAAATCATGAAAGTGATAAAAAATGTCAAATAACTAACCTAAAAATAGCAAGACCGTAATATTTAATTCTGATACTTTTAGAGGTTAGTTAGCAAAACGGAATGTTTAACTCTCTTTTATGTGTAGTATATGTATGTATATATTTATGAATATTTACACTCGTTCCGCACCGTCGCTGCTGTTGGAGCAAAAAGATTTTAAACAAGAACACGGGAGGATGTAGAAGCCGAATTCGAGTGGGGATGGTCGTATGCTTTAAAAAAGAAAATCAATAATTTGTGTACTTCATAAAGCATCATGTTATAATGTGTACGCACTTTGCATATAATATACGGAGAGACGCCGTTAATTCTGAATCGTACACAAAATACAGTGTTACCCGTTAAACGAACGCACAAGTAGAGAGAGAATAAAAGCACGCGCACAGATTAAACTTGTGTACAGCCTTGTCGGTTTTTTCGTCCTCACTTTATGCTAATTGCGATTATTTTGTTGAAAACAAGGGTTCAAAATACACACATTCTTCCGGTCTGACAAATTTGGCTGATAGATCAAAATGTTAAAAAAATCGCCCAGGTCCGTTGTTCCCTAGCACCACAACAACAGTACCGATGTAAACGGTAGAGGGGTAAGGTCGAGTGGCTGTTTAAAAGTACCGTATAATTTATATCCGTTTGCCATCATCATCACCGTCGTCACGTAATCATTTTTATTATACTGTCGATGTTTATTTTTTTTCAGGTGTACTAGCGTTTTGTATTTTTTCTCAGCAACTCACCCGCCGATCGATCGGATTAAACCTTTTAGCATTCGTATGGAAATATCCGAATTTTAATGAAAACGACCACAGAATAACATTANCAGGTGTACTAGCGTTTTGTACTTTTTCTCAGCAACTCGCCCGCCGATCGATCGGATTAAACCTTTTAGCATTCGTATGGAAATATCCGAATTTTAATGAAAACGACCACAGAATAACATTATCCGATTGGATAGGTCATAATCAAATAGTTAAACGTTAACAATTACAATAAGAATTTAATTAAATCTGGTCTGCCCGGCGGGGGTGGTAAGGGCGGACACGTACCCCGGTAAAAGTTTTAAGCCTTTGTTCGACGATAACAATATAAATACGGCAATAGTGACAGCTGTGGTATGGATAACACACTTATAGATGATAAATTTATGTACGTTCGTGAATTGCCGATAAAAAAACAGTTCGACTAGATTGTTATTCTTTTGGCAACGAATTTTAAAAAAAGTGATACAATCGAATGGGCTTGTAAATTTTATGGTAAATTATAAAAAGAACACGGTGTAGTAAGGTCGTATTGCTATAACGTCATCGTCGGCTCTTAGTTTACACGATAAATCATAAATCCATCGAACACCACAGCGATGCTCTTTTCTGTCGAACAACGATCAGGACCTAATTTGTGCGTTAATATTTCAATAAACACACTGTTGTGGTAAATTGACGGCGTACTTGAAGTAATAATTGCGCAACTCTCAAATAATTTATTCACAGTTCGCGGCCAAAACCGATTGTTTATTGCGTTCAGATTTTACACTGCAGTTTTTTTTTTATATTTTTTAAACAATAATTAACGTTATTAGATCAAATAATCACACGACACGCATTGACTACGATAAAATGTCACTCGGACCACTTTATTATTACCGATAAACACGTGATTTCGGATTCGTTACTCTTTCTGTCTCAGAAGTTCTGTCTATTTGTTTAGGTTTACGTAATACTAGACCAATTAGACAATTATGTGTAATGCACAGGAACGTATCGATGGACGTGATGTTTAATTTAACGCCATAAAAGCGCACGAGACAAAAATGTGCACGCCGACGTATCGTTCTAAATTTAGAATTAATCTTTACGTGCAAAGTGTTCTCATAATGTTATAGAGAATTTAATTCCAGGAGAATAATAATAGTAATTTGCAATGTAAAAAAC